ACCGCGCCCACTGCAGCGCCGCCGCGCCGCGGTCGCCCCCTCCACCACCGCCGCCGCCCCCCGTCCCAGGCGTCGCCTCCCGCAGCGCCGACGACAGCGCCTCCCCGTCAGACGTCGCGCCGTCGCCGCCGCAGCCGCGGGCGCCCGCCGACACGCCAGAGGCCTGCGGCAGCAGCGGCACCAGCGCGCCGCCGCCGCCGCCGGCGCTGCCGCTGTCCGCGCCGAGCGCCGGCGCCCGCGCCTCTCCGGGCAGCAGCATCGCGCGCCGCTGGTTCAGCTCCGCGCGCCGCGCCTGCTGCCGCCGCTTGCGCAAGAGCTCCTCGCTGCTGTGCATGAGCCACTTCAGGCCCTCCGCCGCCTGCTTGATGATCGCCTCGCGGGTGCTGGCCGCCGGCAGGAACTGCAGCGGCAGGCCACCGCTGTCCTGGTGGTCCATCAGCTGCAGGGGCACCAGCGACTGCAGGCCGTCCTCATCATCACCATCCTCCCCGGGCACCTGCAGCGGCAGCATCTGCAGCAGGTCGCCGCCGCCCAGCTGCACCGGCACCGGCCCCTCCGCTAGCCGCAGCCGCTTGCCGCCCTCCCCGCCGCCGCCGCCGCCGCCACGGGCCCTCTTGCCGCCGGCGGCCGCGGCGGGTGCGGGCGTGCCGCCCTGGCCGCTGCCCTCCGCAGCCTCGGCCGCCTGGTGCGCCGCGATGGCCTGCGCAGCGATGGCTGCAGCCTGCTCCGGCGGCAGCGGCAGGCCGTCAGGGCCGAGCAGCTGCAGGATGTTGCCGTGCTCGTCCACGAGCTGGGGCACCGCCAGGTCGTGTTGCGCCAACTCGGCGTGCTGAGCGGCGGCCGCGGCTGCCTCGGCCGCGTCTAAGACTACACCCGCGTGCACTGCGCGGTCGCCGTTGCCGGCCTGCCCCTGCGGCTCCTGCATTTGCTGCTCCTGCTCGTGGGCTTGCTGCTGCTGGTGCTGCTGCTGCTGGTGCTGCTCATGCTGCTGCACAGATGCGTCAGGCATGGCATAATCCACACCATTGTGTAAGTGAGCAGTCACCTCCTGCGCCTTTCCGTTCTGCTGCTTCCCACGGCGGCCCTTGCCCGCCTGCTGCTGCTGCTCGTGCTGCTGTAGCTGCGCACGCGCCAACGCCTTTGCACCCTTGCCGTCCGCCACTGCCACGGGTGCTGTTGCTGTTGCTGCTGCTGCTGCTGCTGCTGCTGCTGCTGCCACCACTGGGCCTGCGCCCGCTTCGCCACCAGCTTGTGCAGGGTGGACGCCCTGGAAAACACAATCAGGGGCCGCGAGGCAGAAAATGGGTAAAGAAACCTCTGTGACGCTGATATCTGTAATAAATTATGGAGCCAGCCGCAGCCCTTAAATCACGGTGCCTGCTGCCCAGCAAATCCACCACGTCAGCAGCATCATCGCCAAAGCGACGTGCCTCTCGCGCCCGCACTACAAATTGCCGCATCCGCACCCCCTGCGCCGAGCCCACACCTGTAAGTCCTGAGCCTGCAAGGGCACCTGCTGCTGCTCCTGCTTGCCGCGTCGAGGGCCGCTGGGTTTCCGCGAGCCGTTGCGCCCGTTGACCTGCTGTGCGTGTGCATCATGGGGCAGCGGCAAGCCATTAGCATTTGGGTCTACCACCTCACACCTCTGCATGTCTCGTTACGAGAAGCAATCGTACATCTCTGTGCCAATCACACAAGCCCATCATTGAGGCATGTGGGGGCCGCTGCGATCCAGGGAACCCGTGCAGGCCCAGTGAACCAATCAAGCAGGCCGAGGGCAACAGGACACATGCCAGCGCCGCCGTACACTGCACCTGCGGCTGCGCCTTTGGCTGCTCTGCCTGCACGGGGTCTGCTGGCTGTTCCACCACCAGGGCCGCGCTCAACAGGCCTGAGAGCGTGTGCTGTGCGCGCTCCACTGCATGGGCGACGCTCTGCACGTTGCTGCGCTCGATTCCGAGCGCTTCCAGCACCGGCGACCAGCCCTCCCAGGACGGCTCTGGTATCTTAGTGACGTCCGGCAGGGCTGGTATAACAAAACCCGCCAACGCGTTCTGTGTGGGAGGACGCAGGGTGGTGTCAAGGGGCCGTGCAGCAAACCCATACGCGGGCTTTCCAAAGCAGCCCCCCGGAGAGCCTCACCACGAGCGTGGCGTCGAATGGAGCTAGTGCGTTCTCCATGATTGCGAGGCAGGGGCCACCGAGGGACTCCCTGCCCCCGCTTTCCTCGAGCCCTCGCTCGTGGTTTTAGACGTCCACAACGCAGTGACCCAGATAATGTCCCGGAAACATATTTAAGACTTTGTGGCTTTCTATCAGACTAGCTGCCGTGCGTCCAGCGGTCGATGCCTGCCGTGGTTGTGTCCCGTGCTTGCCGTGCTTCGTGTAAACTTTCACCGAGGTCTCAATCAGGTGTGCATGTACAGGCTGCCTGAGTCAACCTGGGCGCGCTCTAGGGTGGCCATCTTGACGCGTGATCTTCGTAGAGCCGGCAGGTGACCGGACAGCGCCAATACCGTCGCAACGCACAATGCGTGCAAGGCATTTGGCGCAGCCTCAAGGTCATAGCAATAGCAATGAACTGAGATAGTGTTCAATTCCTCCAGGACCGGCAGCTATCAGACAGGCCGATGCTGGTGGCTGTTGGCAGTGGGGCGATGCACATGCAATGTCGTCGTCGTGTGCTGCCCAACATCATGAGCCCAGCCAGCCCGGATGTTGTTGAGCTTTTAAATTCACCGTCCCAAAACCATACTTGATGTTCAATTGTTTGGGCGCGTGCGCGGCGGGCAGCCCCAACATCAACAGAATTGCAGCACGGCCGCAAGGAGTCAAAATGAAACCCAAATGGCTGGTGACTGATGTCTCCAAGCAGCCAGAGTCATATCATGAATCTATGTCTGAAGATTTGTTCCCATACGCAACAGACGGCGGCTCTTGGCACTGCCACGAGACCTGAGATGGATCCTGGTCGCTTGCGGCGCTGCAACGTTGAAGCGCAAGCAGTTTGGCGTTGATGCAGCACAGACTCGGCCGAATCGTGTGTCTATGATGCCCCGCTGCAGGTGCTTCTGGAACTTGTCTCCAGAGGCGACTGTCAGCATGCAAGGCAGGCAAGGCGATGTGCAGGCCGCAGGCATGTTTGACTGCTGTAGAGTCGTCATGAAAGTCAGTGCAGGGTGCGTGATGGTCCATATCACTCATAGATACCAATTCAGGCTCCAGAGATCGCTTCAGCCGCATGTGCTGCTTGTCAAACCTTGCAGATTTTGCCACGCCATTGACCGTCGCCTGCGCTTACGTGCTGTGATACATGCCAAGGACGCTCCAAGGTAGATCTGCTCTTTGAAAAACAGCTGCTATCATAAGTGAATTCTGGCCAAGTTGTTGGCGGGTTCACGGCCCGGCTGCCGGGGACCGGTCGACGCTGGCACCTTTTTGGTGGTGGATCTACTTGATCTGAGCAGGTGCAAGTGCTTGCTTGCATGACACATTGGCGACCAAAATTGTCGTACAACCTTCAGCAGTTAGCACAACGCTATCCTGCACGAGCGATTTTAGCCACGCGCAGTGCGAGGCCAGGAGTAGCGGGCCAAAACTGCCAGTGCACAGAGGGCACCTCAAATATGCAGCATCAACAGCTGTTGTCAGGGCGGCGCGGCCCCTGCACTGGCAGCACGCCGGGTCATCACCGCTCCCGCCCCGGGCGCTGCATGGCCGTGGACGTGCAGCGCGTGTGCACGCAGCAGCAGGATCAGCAGCGGCCGCAGCAGCAGGAACCACAGGCCATTGATTACGCGCAATGCATGCGGCGGCGGCTAATCGGCGGCGCCGCGGCCGCGGCGGCAGCGTTCGCGGCCCTGCCAGCTGCTGACCTGTTGCTGCCCGGCAGCGCTGCGGCCAAGCTGGAGAGCACCCAGGTGCGTGCCTCGCCAGGCGTGCCCAACTGCCTCGCAATATTGAGCAGTGCGGGGCATGTCCATGAGGCTGGGAGGTCGCCAAGCGCCGCGCAGCAGCCCTGCGGTGTGCGGCCCCGGGGCTTGTGGCTGACAGCGCGTGCCCGAGCGCCCGGCTGCTGGTCCCCCGGGATTCAAGCGCCGCCACCCCGCCGCCGGCCACGTGCTGCGTCCATCCTTGCATTCTTAGGTTGGGAGCTACCTGCCTCCTGCGGACGTGGAAGACTTTGTCCTGTTTGTGCCGGATGGAAAGAAGGTGCGGCACAGCAGGAGCAACCCCCGGCGCCGGCGTGGCAGGGCGCTGCGGCCGCTGCGCGCCGGCGCAAGGCTTCTTTGCAATAACGCAGGCATCAGAGATCAGAGACAGCGAAGCCAATGTCGTGATGGTCTTGAGTCTTGTTCCACGTGCCCGCCCCCGCACCTGAGTGGCTAACCTGACCTTGACTGCCCTCCGAACCCACGCAGACCCCAGCCATCCGCGCGGGCACCGTGACGCCCGGGCAACCCTACCGCTTCGCCATGCCCCCAACCTGGCGCGAGGCCAAGGTCAGCGCCCCTGCGTGCCGGCCGGCGGCGTCCGCTGTTGGCCCCGCCCTGTGCCTGGCGCCTTGGTCGGATTGGGGGCCGGCGCTGCCCTGGCGTGTTGCTGCGAGCCTGAGTCGTTGACGTCCGTGCGTGCGTAAGCATACGGTATGCACCCCTCCTCCCCATTGCACATCCACACACACACATCCACACACACACATGCACACACACGCACGCATGCACGTGAGCGCACACACACTTAACCTGCCCGCAAATGTGCGCACACATGCACACAGACACTGACACACAACGGGCACACACAACGCCCACATGCGCGCACACACTCTCTACCCACATGCACACACACGCACACACTCACACACACACACCTCCCCCCAGGTCGCCAACATCCTCTCGGGCAACTACTGCCAGCCGCGCTGCGCCGAGCCCTGGATTGAGGTGATCTTTGAGAACGAGGCGGAGGGCAAGGCGCAGGTGATCGTCTCGCCCCTGGTGCGGCTGACAAACCGCAAGGGCGTGAGGATCGAGGAGGTGGGGCCGCCGGAGGGCATCATCACCAGCCTGGGGCCCTTCATCACGGGTGAGGCGGCTGTCAAAGGGGGCCGGCGCTGGGGCGGGGGGACTGTTTGGCGGGAGCCTACGGGCGAGGGGCCCCAGGGGGGGGAGGACGGGGTTGGTGCATTGCTGCGATTGCTGGCGTGGGAGCGTGGCTTGCGTGCAGGCACAGCGGCGTGCGGCGGCTGCGGCGGCTGCGGCGGCCTCAACACTGCCTAGGGTGTTAGCCCCGGGCGCAGCCAGAGGGCGCAGCGCGGCCAGGCACCCCCCTCGGCCTTGGCACTTCCTGGCAGTGGAAAGGCCTTTTGGTACTGCCAGCCGCACCCGCAGCCACAGCCGCTCTGGGGCCAAGTCATGCCTTGTCGTCTCTGCTGATTCGACCGCCGTGGCCCCTGCAGGCACCTACCTGGACGAGGAGGACGTGGTCAGCGCCAGCTCAGCAAAGCGCGACGACGGCCTGCTATACTACAACTACGAGATCAACGGTGGGTTGAGAGTAATTATTTCAGATCAGTGTGCCGTGGACGTTTGATTTGGTGGCGCGACAGATGGGGCGCAACGCGTCAGCTGGAGGCGTGGCTTTGGCGGTCCCTGCACACCAGCTGCATGAGCGAGCGCTGCAATGATTGCCCGCCCGCTCGGCCCACAGCTAAGCCCGAGCGACAGGTGTTTGCGTGCATGCCTGCTGCCGCACCCACTGTGTGCGGCAGACCGCGCCTGCCCGACGCTTTGTCTGCTACCCCTTCACACCGCAGCGTCCTACGGCACCAACGGCCCCCACACTGTGTCGAGCGTGACAGTCAAGGGCGACCTGGCCCTGCTGCTGGTGGTCAGCGCCAACGACAAGCAGTGGGCAAAGAACGAGGGCCGCCTGCGCGCCATGGTGGAGACGTTCCGGGCGTAGACGCAGCGCGCGCGCCGGACCCGGTGCCCCTACGGAAACGCCGGCGATGTTTTTATCGAGGGGACGAGCAGTGTTTCTGCCGCGCCGCTCACGAGCATGGACGGGCCGGCTTGGTGCGGGCAGGCAGGCGAAATGCAGGGCGCCAATTTTTTGCGACCGCCCCTGCGCATTTTTACGTCGAGGATCAGATTTTTTTTGCTGTCGCTGTGCTGCGGTCCGGCCGCCGCCGATTTTCACCCAACTCCAATCCAACCGACAATCAAACGAGCTATTGCATCATTGCGTTGTCATCATCGTGTGTTAGTCCCAGATCGAGTGATCCATTATAATCTTCTGGGAGCATCTAAATGCTTCAGCCTGCTCTGCCTGGTGTGAACCTCTTAGCAACAGCAGCACAGGAAGCCAAGCCTTTTGCAAGCCACAATCTGCTAGGGTGCGGCAATCAAACCAGATGCGGGCAGCCGGTCGGGCGAGACGCTGCGGCTGTCCGTGCGCATCCAGGATCTGGATGCATTGGGTAAGCCGCCGCGGGGCTTACACCCAGTCAGCTCACAGCCCCTCCGCATACGCGGTCAGCAGCGACTGCGCCGCCACAAGCAGCCGCTTCCTCTCGAGCCGAGCCGCAACAGCTGCACCCACGCGGGGCGAGAGCGGGGGCGTGCCGGGGTCGTCGCTGCCGGCGAGAAGCTGCTCATCGGTCTCCAGCGTCGTGGCGTGGCTGTGGGGGTTGGACGGTTTATGACGAGTAAGATGCGTGTGTGAGTCACGAGGAGTCGCAGCTCATGGCTGCATGATGGAGGAGGGCGGGGCGTCGCAACGCAGGGGCTGGCTGCGACATTCTTTGTCAGCCATGACTGCGTTCGAGATCTGGCTGACAGGCCCAAGGCCGCGCTCGGCGCCAGCTGCACACGGGCCCCCATAGTGCACGAAAGGGAGCCCAATATCCACAGCGCTGGGCAGCCCATCAGCAGGGCGGGGGGCTCCACCATGGCAGTGAGCAACAGACCCCGCACCGCGCCCCCCGCCCCCCAATCACCTGGCGAGCATGTCGCTGCACTGCTGCAGCAGAGCATCCACCGTCCGCCGCTCCTTCTCCACCGCCGCCGCCGCCGCAGACAGCGGCCCCCCGCCCCGCCCGCAGAACGGGTGCAGCGACCGCGCCGCCGCCTCCAGCCGGCGCGCGCCCGCCGCGTCCCCGCCCGCCTTCGCGAGCCGCGCCGCTGCCGCGGCCAGCGGCGCGGACCTGAGGGCGGCCGCGACCCGCGGAGCCCCCAGGGCGCGGCTCTGCGCGTCGTCGCCGGCGCTGAAGGGGACGCGGTCGTTGACATTCCCGGGGATGACGAACCCGTGGTCTTTCAACATCAGGGTGTTGGGCTTTGTGGGGTTTTGGCCGAGGTAGCTGATGCATACCTCCTCGCCTTCCGCGACGTCCTGCGGCGGCGGCGCGGCGCGACAAACGTGACGCGCAGATGCAGAGGGAGGCGCAGGGCGGCCAGCAGGGGGTGCAGGGTGGTTGACAAAAAATCGAGAGAATCTACATGGGCAGTAGGGATTATCATGGCAGTTTGTATCGTTGGGCACGCACGCTGCAGCAGGGAATCAAGGCAAGCACGGCCGTGCGTCGAGCGCCGCACGCTTGTGTGGCCAACAGTGTAGGGGCGGCAGCGACCTTCCCATTTGACCATCACCCGGCACGTTGATGCCTGCTTTGCGGCACGTCTGCCTCTCACCCGGTTTGCAATCAGCTGGAAGCTTCCCGAGTCGGCATCCAGCCTGTAGGAGGCGTTTGGGGCGCTCGAGTGGTTGGCCATGTCAGCGCAAGGCACCACCAGCGAAAGCGCCTCTCCCGCCACCTGGGAGGGCGTGTGCGTGAGGGAAGGGGGAGGTGCGGGTTCATCAACGCCTGGGGTGCGGTGTGCCTGTGCAGAGCCTTGCCGAAGCATGCTTGCCACCAACCAATGAGCTGAGCGTGCCCGTTTGCAGCACTCCGGCTGGTAGAGGGAGGTGGTGTAGGCGATGAGGAGGGTACGACGGGTCGCCTGCTGCGGCCGTCAGATCCGGGAGACAGCGGCGCCCAAGCCGGGCCCTTCACAGGTCAAGGTTTTGCGACACTGGCATCAATGCAAACCCGTCTAGGCCCGCACCCCACCAAAACCCACCTCGTCGGCAAAGCAGCGGCTGTTGACCATGCTGGCCGCCCACAGAGTGTCCGCCGGCGCCGCCGCCAGCCGGAGCGCCCGCAGGTCGCCGGTGGCCTCGCTGAAGATGGACGCGTGCAGTCCAAGGATAGCATCTCGCTCCTGCGCGGTGCCGAGGCGGGTCGCGGCCTGCTCAGAGGTGCTGATGCGGCACTGTGCCTGCTTCAACCGCCCAGCACACAGCCAGGATGGTCGCCCATCGCACGGTCATCAGTGCAGCCCGGCATACAGGTTTCTCTGAGTTCTGGGGTGTGGATTCTGGGGGTCCTGTCAGCCGCCTGTAGCAGCCCCGGGGCCCTTCGAGTGTGGCAAGGTGAAGACATATCATCAAGCCAGACAGCGGGTATCCCCGGGCCCCGCCTCCGCTGCCCTCAGCCGCCCTCCCGGCCCGGCCGCCGCCCTCTCTTGTGTTCACGCTCTTGCTTGCAAGGTTCTGGACCCCCACTGCCAATACACCCACCCACCCATGCACCCAACCCCCCACCCGCTCCGCGAGCGCCTCGAGCTCTGGGCTCTGCAGTTCATGCCGCTCCTCCGGCAGGAAGTGCATCAGGCTCTCGTGGCCCCGCGGCAGCAGCCGCTTGTAGAGCGGCCACACGCCGCCGCCGTGGCGCGTCACGTGCAGCAGCCAGGCCACCAGGCGCGTGAACCAGCCGGACTCTGCTCGAGAGGGGGTGGGGGCCAGGCGGTGGGCTGTGATATGCGAAGGGTCAGTGCATGCGCATGAGGCTGCGACAGACGAAGAGCTCAGCGGGCAGGGGGCGTTGCCTTCAAGATGAACGGCATCCCGTGGCAGGAGCAGGAGCGGCCGCAGCAGCTGTTGAAGCAGCCACAGCAGGGGCGAGAGCAGCTGCCGCCACAGCAGTGGCAGCTGCAGCAGTGACAGCAGCGGCAGCAGCGGCAGCAGCGGCAGCAGCGGCAGCAGCGGCAGCAGCAGCGGCAGCAGCAGCGGCAGCAGCAGCGGCAGCAGCGGCAGCAGTAGCAGCAGCGGCAGCAGCGGCAGCAGCGGCAGCAGCAATTGGCGCCCCCCCCCTGCCCACCCGACAAGATGTATGCTTGCAGCATCGGCGGCAGGGGCCCGTGCACCATCTCCCAGTCTTCCAGCGCCCGCGCTCCGAATGCGCCCCCACCACTCCCCGCCGGGTCGTCACAGACGCACAGCGTGTTCCACAGCTCAACAGTAAGCAGCGGTGCGCCGGGCGGTGCCGCCTGCCGCGCGGTGAGGCCGCGGCCGAGCGGCGTGGGCCTGGCGGCGAGGACGCCTGCGGAAGGGTCGCCCGGCGGGACGACTAGGGAGGCGAGCGTATCAAAGGTGGCCGAGAGCTCCGCGTCTGCGATGCTGAAGCCGTCGCGCGGCGAGCTCGCTGCTTCCGTGGCGCCACTCGCCGTGCACGGCGTTTGCCACGTTCGTCTGTGGCGCCGCCGCGACTGCGCTGCTGACACTGGTGCCCTTTGCGAGGTTACGTGGGGCCCCAGGACCCGAACACATTGGCTGTTCATCGTAACTTGCAAGCAACCCGACTGCATTGGCATACTGTAGCCGTTTGATGCAGTGATCAACAATTGCGATCTTGCATTGCGTCAAGCGTCGCGTATCGTGTGGTTGAATTGTCAATTAAACCCACAGTGTTGTATACGCAGACACGTGCCGTCACAATGTGCACTGTTGCAGGTCTGCACTTTGACCGCTTGCAGAAAAGCGGCGCCTACGGTACTACTGTAGCGCCTCTTGCTCTAGCTCGGTGCCATACAAGTATTTGGTCGTCCTCATCTCATAATTCCTGAATCAGGTCGATCCGGAACTCGCTCCAAAGTGCACATAAGGGCCACCTGCAGTAGATGTATGTAGGGCAGAAATCCAAACAATCTCGTTTCAGAGGCAGGCAGCTGTCACAGCAGATGATACTGTTGTTGCCATAACATGAATACCTTGTTACAACTCGACTCAATTAGAGCTGTGATCGGCCAGTCTGGGAGCGGCCATTTCATCGCCGAGCGCCGACACGTGGCTCCAAGAACCCAGGCGCACCTCTGGCATGTGGTTCTAGTATATAGCAGGCAGGAAAGTATGGAGAGGCGTAGCGGGCAAGGGCTTGGTGCCGCCCGTGAGTGTTGAGGCAGCTTTGTCAAACAATGGGGGCAGCTTACGAGGCAGCAGGCATGGGTGCCCTGATGGTACATAATGATGTTGCAGGCAGTTGACACGGATGCACAGCTGCCGACCTGATATGGAAGAATCACATATCATATGAGTCATCGGCACATGATTGCCACCCTGTGACCTGCTGCCCCCTCGGGCCCTGGCAAACAGTGCGCTGTAATCGCCGACACATGCCCGCAACTGCTTATCCCTCACCGACTGTATCGCAAGAATGCATCCTGAATGAACGGGTATGCGACACCAGCAACTGACATTGGCGGTACGCGCTATCATGCGCACCACATCGCAGCGGTTGTGAAGTTCAGCACAATTCGCCTGATGGTCAAGTCCGCTGACCCTGCTCGTGGTGCGTGCCTGCGTCATGCCGTCCCCAGTCAGGGACAGGGGGCCGAATAAGGATCTTTGTCACGAAGAATGAAATACCGGTATCGGATATCTCAATGATCTCACCCGGGCCGGTCACCGCGTGGAGGTCGGAGAGTGACTCAGATTTTGCTTGCGTCAAAAAGCTCTATGAGGCTCTGCATGACAACAGGAATTATTGCAGGAGTTCGCTATCAAATTCCTTGACGTATCAGCCTAGACATCGCAACTTGGCCGCTGTCGGGCCCCTGCCCCGCTACGAATCATCAGCCCAAACTCGCCGGGGCAGCCAAAGCAAACGTCTGAGCCTGTAACACGAGTAATCTATCGCCTGATCATCGACTGTGGGCGGGTGAGGTGCAGGCGAGTCTAGCTTCAAACGGTGGGCTGGGCCGCTGTGGGAGCTCGAATAATTGCTGGGTGACAGAGATAATTGGCTGCCTTAACTGGATGCTTCCCCATGGCTGAGTTGCCCAGCCACCCGCGCCAACTCCCCAACACCCCTGATGAAGCAAGGCGGGAGGAACATTGTGAAGCGGCGCATTACGTTGCATCGGGCGAGGCCCACAAATCTCAACAAGGCTGGGATTGATGGTAATACTCTTTCATTATGCGATTTTTACTCGCACGCTGGCGCCCGTGCGCTGGCCCTCGAACAACGTCACCCGCCGCCTCGCCCTCGCCTACATGGCCACCCCGCACCACAGGCAGCCATGGCGCGCAGCGCGGCCCTGCTGCTGCTCTCTGTCGCGGCGATCTTTGCAACTGCAGTTGCGCAGACAGAGACGGGCAAAGAGGCACAGCTGCCAGCCGGCTTCGAGGGACTCGTGCTGGGCAACAGAAACGATGCAGCAGGGGACATCCCTGCACCTGGCCCGCCCAGCTCCGCCCCCGGGTCAAACATGGCTGCATCCGCCGCCAATGTCAACATGTTCCCGCAATGTGAGCTGTGCCTGTGCCGAGGGGGACGACGTTTGGGTGTCTGAAAAGCCAACTGTGCAAGCCGCCCTCTGCATGCTCTCGCCGGCATGTGCCGCTCAGGCACCTCCACCAACTGCCTCCCGACCCCCTCCCCTTCCCCCCCAGCGCTAATGCCTGACGGACGAAATCTGCCCAACCCCTCCCTGCTCCGACCCTCCCAGCGGCCTCCCCTGACTCCTTGGACGAAGCAGTGCAGGCCCAGGTCGCGGCAGCAAAGGCCGCCTTCGCAGCCGCCTTTGCTGATCCAGACGCGGCGTTCGATCGCCACATCCTCGACCTGGGCGCCCGCAAGGCGTCCCTGCTGGCAAACGGGCGCGCGCTGACCCCCAACATTGCGGTGCTGGGGAACGGCTCGGCTGCGAGCCTCCAGAAGTACAGGGCGGCCTTCAAGCAGAATCTGATCGAGATCGCGGCGCTCAACGCGCGGCCGGGGGCGAACGTGGCGTACGGCATCACGGCCTTTACGCACATGCCGAAAGAGGAGTTCAAGGCCCGCTACCTGGGCGGCAAGAAAGCAAGTGAGCTGCACAGCTGACCCTCGGATCCGCCAGTCCTGCCGGGTGTCTGGGGCGTATAGCGCCGCAGCCGACACGTTGCCCCGTGCGCCCGACCGGGCCTCAAATGCATGTGCAACGGCAATCGCGTTTCGCTCCCCGCAGGCGCAAGTGGCACGTCACGCGCTGCCGCGGTCAAGGCAGCGGGTTACACCTGCGTTAAGGCGACGGCCTGGAAGGCGACGGCCCTCGCAAAGGCCAAGCTGGTCGGGTCCGTCGACTGGCGCAAGGCGTCGCCGCCCGCAGTTGGGCGCGTCCGTGACCAAGGGGAGGTGAGCGGTGCTTTTGCTGTGTTGGGGCCCCGTCTGGGATGAGGAATACGCTCCCCATGCAGTGCAATGGAGCCGGTAAGACTGCACATGCTGTCCAGCACTTAAACATCCCCCAACTCGTCCAACAAACCTGCTTTGTGCCGGTCCCGCGGCCCCTTTGCCTCTGGTCTGCAGTGTGGCAGCTGCGTCACATTTGCCAATGTGGCCGCCCTTGAGGCAGCATACTCCCTTGCAAACAAAATAGACGCATCCACCGTTGACTTGTCAGAGCAGGATGAGATGGACTGCACCTCTGGTAGGAAGCTGCCTGGCACCTTCTGCCGGGGTTTAAATGCACCCGTTCTTGCTGCATGCGCTGGCATCTGCCTAGTCTGCCCTCCGTCTGCATGCTGCAAGCTGTACTTGATTAAGCCCCGCATCTCCTTCCTGCAAGACTCATGCTTGGCTGCATTGTTTGAATCCTCTTGCAAACGGGTGCAGGTGACGCCTGCGAGGGTGCCGATGGATATGAATACATTGACAACGCGATCTGCAATAAGATCGCCTTCGAGAGGAGCAGGCCCTACACTGCACAAGACAACGACCGCTGCAGCACCAACCTCGCGCGCACCAAGCCGGGCGTTGTTGGGTACGCCTTTGTGCCCGGTAACATTAACGACTTCCGGCGCGCCTTGGCACACAACGGTGAGTCTGTTGGTGGTGCAACTCCTGTGATGAGAACTTGCTGTGCGCTGTGCTCCACAATGTATTTTCTAACGCCCTAACACGCACGCACCTGCCCGCAAACAGCAGCAAGAGCGCAAACGCACATCCCTCATGCCATGAGGCACTGCCTCTCATCACACACGTGCACACGTGCACGCGTACGTCCACCCCACACACAGTGATGGCCATCGGCATCGACGCTGGCGACTCCGACAACTTCATGAACTAGTGGGTAGATGCATGCGCTCCATGCAGCATCCGGCAACTCACACGAACAATGTGGCAAGCTCCGCTTACTGTGCCTGCCGCACGCAGCGGGACCCATTTGGGCCATTGACATAATCATCTGCGTCTGAGGTTCCCAGCCGGACGCCTGCAGGCGTCTCCCAACAGCCAGCCTGTGTCAATGCCCAACGCTTTTTGCCACCCCTCCCTCCCCATCACACTCACCCGTGCTTTATCCCCCAAACCCACCCGCACCCCCACCGACCTGCATACCCGCCTGTCCCGCGGACTCACCCTGCAGTGTCAGCGGAGTCATACCCTGTGGCAGCAAGAGGAACCTTGATCACGAGGTGGCGTTGGTCGCCTTTGAGTGAGCATCAGCGATGATTCGGCTTTTGCTGAGGGGCTGGTTTCCGAGTCTAGGGATCAAGCACGGGAGCCTTGACGCTGAAGGCCCAACCCCGCTGCCTTTGGAGTGGAGCTCAGACCGCTGTCTTGTAGCTAGAGTCTGCATGCTCGCCCGCGGCAAACCTGCTTACAGACCACAGCCTGACGCCTCAACTTCAACCTGGCTTTTGTGGTGAAATGCAGGGATCGCGTGGCTGTGGGCAGTAAGACCTGGAAGGTGTGGACTGTCAAAAACTCGTGAGTTCCTGCAGCGAGCTTCAAGGATGGGAACGGGACGGCCTGGCGGGATGGTGCCTGGGCAGCTGTACTGGCAACAGGCAGTGAATCAATGGCGGTCTGGGGAAGACAAGCCAGCAGCGAGGTTTGGTCAGCAGTCGGGCAGGCCTGTTATCATGTGTGGTAGCTTTGTGTTGCGCGGCCACTCGCACGATTTTTAATACAGTGGCTGCTGTCTTGCGCAAGTGTACGCAGGCATGTGGGTGTGAGTGTGAGCGTGTGAGAATGCATGGGTGGTTGCTTGTGTGTGGGAATAAATCCTACTCATAGGCAATATGCAGATTTTGCATGTTTGTGGATGTGTGTCTGACTGTGTGTGTGTGTGTATGTGTATGTGTGTGTGTGTGTGTGTGTGTGTGTGTGTGCGCGCGCGTGTGCGCGTGTGCACTTGCACGTGCACTTGCATGTGCACTTGCGTGCGTAAAAAGAGTGGGTATGAGAGGATTTTGTTGCGCAAGCTTGTGACACTCACAGGCCCGGGCGCGCGCATTGCCCTCTGACGGTTGCAGGTGGGGCAGCGGATGGGGCGAGAAAGGTTTTGCGCGCGTGCGCGCTGACTGTGGAGGCATTGGCCCCCTCGGCATGTACAGCGATCCCTACAGCGTCGTGCCCCTCAGGGGCTGAGAGGAGTGCAGCAGTTCGGTGCGCAACACGCCGATGCTAGCTTTGTGCGCAGCATCTGGCTCTGGGCGGCAAACAGCTTGTTTTTGTCCTGGAGAGGCCTCACACACGCCTCCTCTTGGCAAGGGCCTACGCTCTGCCTTATCTGGATACTGCCAGACAGGCCCCTATTTCCTTTGTGCAACGAACAACTGTTGCGCTGGCACCCCTCTCCCCCCAAAAAACGCCACAAGCTTGGAGCCGGCATGCCTGCTGCAGCACCCATGCAGCAGGCTGCGAGCTGCCAGGCCCCTGCAGGTTTGCATTTCTGACGCCATGCGCGTGATTCCTTTTGCTGGGCAACAAGCCGCGCGCGTAGTGTGTGCGTGTGGGTGTCCTTCAACAGCGCAAGGCGCCGAACAACGAGTGTTGTGTATGTGTTGAGGAAACACCCATCGCCAACTTGGCTTGAACGGCAAGGGCTCCAATGTGTTGACCAGGCTCGCTGTCCTGCTGCCTGTTGTGTCAATGCGCCGCTTGCATCAGGGAGGTGTCCCACCCAATGGTGCATGCTTTTATCTGGGACACGCCGTCACTACGTGTTATGTGCGCATTTATGCACTTGCCACTGAACTTGGTGTGGCATGTGCGTGATGACCTTGCTTCACATGCCATGGTGCTGTTTTCCCAGTGCAAGGAATACATCGCTTCACAGGACATACCTTGCCCGCTTGAAACCTTGTCCCGCCCCAGTGTGACGCCTCTAGCTGCCATAGCACTGTTCAAGTGGGTCATGCACGTACGCAAACTGCCACGTGACCAACCATGCAAAGGCAGCCTTGCCAGGCCCACTCATGCGCGCTGCTGTTTCCAAGTCCCTGTTAACCTGTTTGTACACAGGGTTACGTGGTTGAAAATATCGATGGCTTCCCCTTGATGTTTGGCCAACACACAGTATGTGCAGATTGACGAGACGGCCCTGCAATCCAGCATCCCTTCCCTGTTCCATTCCTTCCTGCAAGCAGGTCTCCTCCTGCGTGCATTGAGGGGAGGCCTCTCCCCCAATATGAACCCCCAGCAGCCCTTCCCTCTCTTGAGTTTTTTTCCTTTGTTTTGCTGTGTGCAGCTGACGCTGCAGGCGCCAGCGCGTAGCGTGCCATTCAGTAACAACAGCGAGAGATTGCAGGCCGTGTCTGCAGCACTGCCCTCTGTACGGATTGCAGTGCCAAGTAAGTGACTTGCTGACTCCTATTGGCAATGCGGGCAGCCTTGATGCAGGACACACAAATCCAGCCAATCAGCAATCCAAGGTTATAGGCACGCATAGCACCAACAATACCTATGTTGTCAATGCATGAGGTCATGGTTATTCAATGCCATTGTGCATTCTACACATGTGTGCATGAAATGGTTGACCATCGCATGACATGGCAAGCCCCGATCATGATGCTACTGAACATGTTTTTGCTGGGGGCTTTGCATGTCCCAAACCAGGGGGGATTGAGCGTCACTTGCAATGAGCTGACAGCAAGGGCCTTGGTTGTTGTGGTAGGCAAGCCATGCACCGGAAAATCAACTTTGTAGCACCCCAAGTGTTGGCAGTTGCAGGCGTACGCCTGCGCCGGCCGTCATCGGCAACCATGACAATGGCGCGTGTGCCCGCGTTGTGGTGTTTGCTGGACGTGATCAGGCTGGGCTGATGCAGTGAGCAAAAGCACAGGGGCTAGCCAGATTGCTCTCGCAATTGTAGATCTTGCCATGAAATAACCTTAGACAACTGCGCTCTTGCTGCGTCATTTTGTTGCGCGTGCTGGCTCGCTCGCCCTAGGGCGAGCTCGCTGCTTTGCCACTGCCCGTTTTGCTGGAGCTTTGCTTTTGCTACTACTCCTTGCTGGAGGATAAGGGCAGCCTTGGCTGGTGGGCTGATCACTATCCAAAAGTCCCGCATGCTTACGAGGGGAGGCCCTCCCTCGCATTGCACCTCCACTTTGGGCGGCGCTCCTGTGGGCGCGCAATCGCCCACCTGCTGCTTGCAATTGCTCTCACTTTCGTCGCTTATGTGCGCGCCGGGCCAGGCATCCACATGCATCAAGATGGTCCATGTGGCAGGGGTACTGTTGTCGAATAAATCGTGGACTGTTGTCCAACAGAGCGTGAAACACTCGTGCGACAAGTGACATCGAGTCCACATCACCTGAGTCAACACAGCTTGACCAGGTCACTGAGGCCTCATTGCCGTCATTAACGTGCGTCTCGCATTGAAATAATTTGCCGTAACCTGCAACTGCCTTTCTTACATAAAGGCGTACAGCAAAGCTGAGATCATTTGCTCATTGCAAGGGGGCCATAATTGTTGCCCGAGGTGGCAAGTGCGGCATTGATATTTATTTCAATTGTCTCAACCGGGCTTGATGTCTCTGACGGAAGTCTCTGTCGAGCCCGCCCTGGCCGCCCCCAGCGCAGCCAAGGCACCCTCGACTCAGCCCGCTGTGCAGCCTCCCCGCGAATTTAAGATGGCGAATTCGGTGCCTAAGAAGGCGACAGGCAAAAGCGTCGCCGTCCCCGTCATTGCTGGGATTACAATTTCAGCACTGGCTGCGGGGATCGCGTTGTTCCTTGCAAAGAAGGAAGGCAAGGGCAAGCCAGCTCCCGCTGCCAAGAGATCAGCTGCCGGCTCTCGCTCTTCGTCGCGGCGCAGTTCCAGGTGCGCATCGGTGCACCGGCGGTCGGCCTCGCTGCGCCACCCGCCAAAAACCACCTACTTCGCGGTGCAGCGGCCCTGCTGGCTCGTACTGTTTGAATGCCGTCGCGCAGCCAATGCTGATTATGGCCGCATCTTGTGTTGACCAGGCAGTACACTTTACAGCTGTCATGGCGGTGTTTGAACCCTGATGTCTGCCCACATGCGCCCTGAGCAAGTGCTCGCGCAAAGCCTGCTCGCATGAGCAGGCGCAACTAGGCATGTACTGACTTGCGCCTTGGCTGGTAATCACTCACCCAGCAGGGCAGCCAGCGGCGCCGCCGGCAAGGCGGGCCCTGCAGCGGGCGCACCGCGCACC